TGCTGAATATACTCTGATCATCATACTGCATGACTCCTCAAATTAAACAACCTATACTTTGAAGATACACCTCCCACAAACAGAATACTGACGATTACTCGATGCTATTGGTTTTAACTCCATAACGGTCCAGACATCTGATAAGGATACAGACTGCATCCATCTTTTATGCTCTATGCCTGGAACCCTGGGAGCTGTGGGCTAAATTCTTGTCTCAACCAAACCTCCGATGTGATCTTGTGAAAACAATCTAACATCTGTACTTTGATTCCCAAACTATAAAATGTGAGTGGTAACATTTCTTTTATTCTATACTCTATCTTGTGCATTTAGACTGTAATTGTCTAACAGCAAAGATGGCTTTAGGCACAGCTACCAGAGAAAAGGAGGCTGAGATCTTGCCTAGTGCTTCTACATGATCCTCTAGTGCACACAATTAATCATACTAGATAAAATTCTCAAACACTTGATTTCTGATCCCATCTGATTTCCTCCTTATTCATATTTGTACATTCCAGTGTCTAAGGCTACGCTCTCCCAGTGTGCACTGCAATAATTACTATAACACTTCAGCCACTGAGTATTTCCTGACTTGAAAGCTTCTATCCCAAAATCTAACTTTGAAATCAACCTTCCAACTGCATCAAGAAAGCCTACCCTCACAAGCTGTAGTACATGTATCTCAGCTCTACTGTTTGTAAATTCCTGCAGGCTAATACTGTGCTATCTTCTAAATTCTCTTCTACTAACCCTCCTGCAAGGAAGGTGAGAATGACCTTTCTGTTTTACCAACAAGCAGAAAACAAGAAATGTGGGGTTTATGCTTAGTTTATTTCCCTCTGTCTCAGCAGTTTAGTTTTGGGTTTAACAAAGGACTTACCGGTGATAGGCTTCCCGGCGGTACTTTTTCAGAGCATGCCCATCCATGTTTGCAGGGAGATCTGCTGCATTCTGGAGTCGGTCGCTCCATGAGGTTGTCATCTTCAAATGCTTATTTATTTCTGAAAGAAGCAGAAGAGAAAAGCTTGCTTAAGTTCAAGGTTTGTTTCACCAGAAAGTTTTCTGTTTCCTGGTACAAAGAGATGCAATGCCACTCAGGAAGTCTTGCAAAGCAATCAGTGGAATGATCTGAGTTTGCAGGTCAAGTAAGATGCTTTCCTCTGAGATGTTTGATGAGATAAAGCTTTAAACAGAGAGCTGGGAAGGCTTTTCCACATGGCTGGAATTGCAAAGACATTCCTATCCATTGTGGTGAAAATGCATTTAGAAACAGAGACCTTGTTTTCATTGGTGAAAAGGGGTATTTTTTGACCCTAGAGTTACTAATATATGTCAGCTATAGGTGACAGAAAACCTGCCCTTTATACATGAGATAAATTAGGCAGGGCAAAGTCTACAAACTCCAGCAGGACTGACCTTGCCACTTTTACCACACAGAAAAATAAAGAGCCTTGGCCTTGGCCATTCGATCTCTAAGCAAAGACAAAGCTTTATACTGGTGCTAAGCTAGCAGAAACAATTGGAAGGAAAGTAGAAAGACGATCTTTTGTCCTCTGCAGGTCAGCCACGTTCAGACAGAGCAAGAACGCACTCCAAACCTGTAACACTAGCAATGCAAATATTCACCAGCAGATCTTCACAAACATCTGCATCCCTTCACAAGTACTGGCTGTCAAAACCAAACCACCACACAGTCCTTCTTGTCAGGAAGGCCCTGCAGTAAGGAAACAGGGGTACCTTTCCCAACTGTGTTATTATCACACTGGGGCAATCCTGCTCGCCCCCTGCTCCAGCCTGCCACATGTCCTGCCGCATCCCTGGCAGTGGGTAGGATGATGAGGCAGCCCCACGCTGAGTCAGTTCAGCACACCAGCCCAAGTGCTCACCCGTCAAAACCAACCAACAAAAAGCAAACAAAAACTAGGTAGTTTGCTGAACCCAGCTCAACCTGCCACAACACTATCATTAGAGCTGGTGTGAAAAATGGGGTGGGAGACACATCCCACGGTTATACCAAACCAAGTATAACATGAAACCGCATTCTTCTGTAACCCACACAACTGCTGGACCGCAGGCCTTGGCTTGTTTGCTCTTCCTTACAGGAAACAAAACCACCCACAAGCTACATGGGTAATGATACAGAAACCATTTCTAGACACCTTTAAAATATGACTGCCATCATTTCACAGAAGGGAAACTAGATTATTTCAGCAAAGCAGAGAGTAGAACAAGCATCCAAACCAGCGTTAGAGAAGTCACAGAGCTTTCGGCAGTCACACGCCTGCTTGCTCTCCTAGAGGAAATATGTATAATTTTTTAGTTTTAAATTTGATTAAAGAGCAGCAGTTGCAATTGTCACAGCAGTTATTAGTCTATTTACCTACTAGTTGCTGGTCATAAAAATCAAACAGAAGGCAAACAGCCTGTCTGTAAAAAATATGTTCCTCCCTCCCCCAGCATTCTCTGCTTGTCTCCCAGTCATCATAACCAAGGTTTACAAATGCATCTTCTGCCACATCCTAAAGGTCACTAAATTTAGGTCCTGGCAGACAGCCCAAGGGACTGCATGCCAGAGCTGAGAGCTCTCCCTCCCGCCCTGAATTCCCTGCAACACACCCAGGAGAGGAGGTCACCGAAGCAAGAGGGCGATGGGCCATTCCAGCCAGCCGCAACTTCCACAACAGGGCATGCAGGGAGAAGCAGCTTCTAAAATAGCCCAGGCCGGGCCACCAAGGGCTTATAAGTAATTACCAGCTATTTAAGCCATGCCCAAAGGCAGATGGAAGGCAGCCCAGGGCACAGAACTAAACAGCCCGCAAGCATCAACCTGTTCCACTTCAAAGGCCCGCAGCAAGGGGCAGCAAGAGCAGCAGCAGTCCTTGGGCAAGAAGCAGTGCCCATGCAAGTGACAGACTCCAGGTCAGCACCGAGTGACATGCAGCACAGTGAAGGATCTGGTACAACCCCAAGACTGCAAACTACAGAAAGGGCTTGTGTCCCCAGAGGGTGGAAAAGCATCTACTCCATGGATTTTTCAAGATGGTCCAGATCATCACCACCTTGGTCTTACTCAGAGCTATTTCAAAACTACTAACCTAGAACTACAGATTCAGATCCAAAAGACATATACATGTTAAATAGCTCTGAAAAAACTGTTGCATGGCTGGTCTTATGACCCTTACACAGCTCTGGGTCTAGGTCTTCCAGCTGCATCAAGTCCAAATCCAAGCTTCCTGCCATTTAGAAGGGCTACACTATTCTGCTCACCCAGCCAGGCACATAGCAAGATTCAAAGATTTACACCCACAGCCAAAGCCAGAGACTTTCCATTCTGCCAGCCGCTTCTTCCCGCTTCATCTGCTTCCCATCACCACCACACCACATCAGAGATGCTGACACAGGTACTAGGATAGGATTGCTCCCAACAGCCATCCATGCCACACTTCTGATAGTTAGTCAATACTATTCTACAAAATACCCTAAAATCCAGATGGCAGAAGAATTTTAGCAGGCTACCTTTAATAACATCCTTTCTAAAATGAGGAATTGGTGAAGCAGTTTGAGCTCCTGTGTGATGAAACTCTCCTCTACAGCAGAAGAAACCAGACAGCATTATTTTGTGTGTGCTGGGATTCAAAAAGCTGAGACTTGAGGAAACCAAAAAAATTTTATTTTCCATAACTAAGCAAGAAAGGCCTGAAAAATTTTAATGATCCAGCAGTATTTTGCTGTAGCTGCAATGACCAGAGTTCATAGGCAGGACGAGGCTTGTAGACAGAGGCAATATCTTTTATTAGACCAACTGGTGTGGATGGAAAAAATAGACAAGCTCTTGGGCACACAAGCTTGTCTAAGTTTTCAAACTCTATCGGTTGCTCTAATAAAAGATATTACCTCTACCTTCAGGCTTTCCCCTGATTTATTTATTAAAATCCTTCTTTTAATGTTCACACAGCATAGAAGAAAAAAATCTTATGCTGAAGTTTTGTATTATATGAACTTAAAGGTACTCTTACAGCTTAGCACGCTCTACTGGCACTGTGACAATAGCTTACTGCTCTAAAATGAAACAGTAACAACTGACAAATGATATTGTGATGAATGTTCCCCACCTAGAAGTCTTACTCACACAAAAAATCTCACAGACTTCAATGAAATTGTTCTGATGCTTCAAAGATGTAAAAATCAGCCTACCTGTGTGGGTAAGAGACATGGGACCTGATCCCTGAATGCAAATCCCTTCTTTCAAATAAAGAGAGAAAAATAAGGACTGAATCACCATACACTTGTAAGCCACTGGAATAAACGTATAAGAAAGCGGGCAGCCAGCCAGGCAAGATTCTCAACTCTGAGCAACTGAAATACGATGCATCTTTCTTTAGTTACAAATCTATTTTTGAAATCAATAATCTGTAAATAGCTTCACATAAAAATAGAAATCTTTACATAGACAAAGCATGTCAGAACACCTCCCCATAATTTACTGCAAACATGCCCCTTGCTAGTGCAGTCTTAACTAAGAATCTGATAGCATTTATGGTACATGGTTCATTTTGAAAAAGTACGTAAAGTCTCAGCTTTGAAGCTTTGATACAGAGCTACTATCCAACACATATGCTTTGGTTCAAAAGAACATGAGATTTTTAGCACATATTTTGACATAAGTCTATCTGCTGCTTTTGCCAGATTTTGGCTGATTTAAAGTATTATCCATAGTGTATTTTTTTCAATGAGTATTTACTCATATAGCATGTTCAGAAGCATTCCCCTTCAAGTTTAACTATTATTTTTCTTATCTTTTTTGGCCATCAAATAGTTACAAGTTTCTGCAGCTGGTAATACTTGATGTGTTCAGGTTAAATACACTGTCTGTATTTCTTTCTTAGTTTAACACTTTGATGATGCAAAGCCAAATGAGAGGCACACACCAAAATGTAGAAATCAACAAAATAGCAGTGGCAATCCCACTTTTTCCAGGATATTCTCTGAGAGCTTATATAGCAGAAACCAAAAGCATCACTAACCAATCCCAAGGTTGTAGCGTACTCACACTGATTTGCCATGCACTACATCTGCCTCTTCTCACACCTTCTGCTTCAAGAATCATTAATACCTTGTCAGTACAACCCACATGTGTACGTGCAGAGTGGAAAGTGAATAGAGAGAAAAATCATCACACCTAATGTTAGCTACTTAAAAGCTTTGAGTCTAGTCGGAGGCTGTGGGTGTACAGACAAGTCTCACGGTGCCCTTGCCAAGCCTAGAGCAGTTCCTGGCTCCCCACTGCAACGCTGCTCCATCTCAAGGGGCTTTGTGGGGTCTCAGCAAGGGAGGAGTACCATGTTAAAAAATCCTGAGAAAGAGCAAAGGGAGCAGGATTGGGAGTGGCTTGTTCAAGAATCATATCAAATTCCTGGTCCAGGTCATGGCATGGCCTCACAAACAGGGCAGGGCAGGGGGAAAAGCAATCTTTTCTGCAGCTGAGAGGACTGTCCATGTAAGGGTGGTTAAGAAAAGCGAGTGACCCACTTTCCAGGAGTGCCCCTCTCCCTCCACAAAGGGCAGAAGTTGCTTGCACCCAGTTTAGGCTAGACACTTGGGACAGGTAGCATCAGAGGAGGTGAAATCCACTCAGGTTAGCATCATATCCTCTGATCCTCTGGAGCATCTGACATCCTGGGATGGACTGCAGGAACTGGCCAGGACTGTGTCATCCCCCTCAACAGTATCTGCTGCTGCCACTGTGTGATCAGGGGCTGGGCAGGCATCTGGCCTTACCCAGAAGGGCAGTCCTTACGCCTGTGATCCTAAAGCACTTCACAAACTCTCATTCACATAATACATTTAAGGGCAGCAAAAGGTGCTGTCCCTGTTTCGTCAGCTAAGGATAGTGAGGCACAGAGAAGGTGATAACACTGAGCAGGTGGGAATCAAATACAGAAGTCCTAATTTCTCAGTCCCTGTGCTAAAAACCAGTCTGA